TTGGTAAGAGACATGTAAGACATCTCCCTCCTTTAATACATTTATTTCAACTTATACATTTTTTCAATTTTTTTCCCTGTATTATGAGGCTACATTATTAACAGGTGTGTGTGATAAGACACAATCTGGAAAGTCATCCCGAGATCACTGCTTCACTCCTTCCTGATTATGGGATGTACCCTATGAAAATTCCATCCCTAACATCCTGATTCACATTAAACAGCCTTATAAGGTGACATGAGTTATCCTCTGTACATATCATGAATGTCACCTTTCATAGTAACACTTATACTACTGTGTAGTAGAATGTATTCTAGTATATTTTCCCAGTAAAATAGCTAATATGATTTTTTACTATTACCCTATTTTTCTTTCCAGCTTTAAGGACCAGTTTCAAGATCCATCAATTGGTCTTTCTGTCAGCCATAAAAACTATGTGATCCATATTCTTAGGGAATATCTACATGGTTTGACCACCTAAAAATAGAAGCACTCATCCAACTGCCATGCCATTGGCAAACTTGCTACCTTCTTCTACCTTACTTCCTAGTAATTATAGCTTTCACCTTCTGTATACTCTTGGGATCCCTGGAATGGATAGCTCAGGACTGGTGATGCCTTCTGGTTCTACCTGTGGCATATCTATACCATCTATCTGAGAATGAGACCGAAGGACAACTCATTGGTGTCCTTCCAAAAGAGAAAATTGTCTCAGTAGATTTCTATGTCGAGTTTTCTTATTCCACCCCAAGAGGTTGTTCCATGATGTAGTTCTTAAAGTTCACCATTTCTCTGCTTTTATATGCAGCCCTTTGTTCTTGGCTCATTACTCTATCCCTTAATTAATTAATTAACTTAGAAATGGGGGCTTTGGTATGTTGCCCAGACTGGTCTTGAGCTTGTGGACTCAAATGATCATCCCACCCCAGCCTCCGATGTAGCTGGGATTATAGAGGTGTGTCATCATGCACAGCTCTCTCTCTCTCTCTCTCTCTTATTGTTATCATCATCATCATCATCATCATCATCATCATTATCATTTGTGGTGTGGAGGATCAAACCCAGGGCCTTGTACATAATAGGCAAGTGCTCTAATACTGAGCTACATCCCTATCCCATCTCACTCCCTTATTTTTATAGTTAGCTACTTTGAATCCATTTGGAACAACAGGTGTGAACACACAGGCAAACAAACAATTATTCTAATAACTCTGCCTGGGCTAGTTCCCTTGCCAAGCAATGAGAAAAGCTCTAGGTGATATCTTTTATCTCCAAAAGTTTTGGGATTAGAAGCAGATGACTTACTCAATATTGGGAGGACCCATTTCCTATTCTCTGCAAGTATCTGAGTAGTTAAGTAATAAGGAATTACTTTATATTTTAAATTAAAAATCACCCTGTTGGGTGGATGCTCAGACCCAGGGAAACAGATTCATGATCCTGGCAGGTGGAAGAAGTTGCAAGACACAGTTGGGATAGTAAATGTGCTTTATTCAGAGGTGGCAACAGCCCCTACCCAGTCCCCAGCTCTAGCTTCAGCCCCCAGCCAGTTCCATTAGCCCCTCAGCCAGTACTATTTTGCCCTCTGAGTCATTTCCATAAGACTTTTTTATATGCAAGTCAGACAAAAAAAAGGTGCCTTGTCAACAGGTAAAATCAGTGGGTGCTTCCTCACAAGCAAATGTTTATGACCTTGAGTATACATACTAAATCAGAGTGTTTATGAACTTGGCTACATACTAAAAACATAGGTCTCCAGAAGCATTGGTGAGGGAATCTAATACAGCCATTTAGGGCCTGCCCTACACACCCTAACAAACAAACCATGTAAATATTACACATTTTATTTTTTTTTTGTTAATTTAAAGGCAGCAAATATGCCTAAAACACTAGATAAAGTAAATCACCCATGTTTCCTCAAGTAAAAGGCCAGCTGAGTTTATTGAATATATTTATATTTATTTGTTATACACCAGTTTGGCCATTAGCTTGAGTTTACCCCTCCATGTTATTCTTGTTTATTGACCTCCTGGTCAGGTCTCTGTATTTGCCAACATTCAGCATCATGTGGATGATCTATTCTACATTCAGATCTCTGGGCTACATATAAACTGCTATCTTTACAGAACCATATCCTCTAGCTTCAGCTGTTCCCTGATAACTTCCCTCCATCTCTCTGTTAGATTGGTTCTTGCACTTCTCTGAGCTGTTGTTCAAGATTTATAAAGACATTCCTCTCAAGACAAGACTTTAGAACTTCCCCTCTTGCTCTCAGCTGTTCTTTTATGCTTCAATTTTCTACCTTTCAGTTTCTGTGGAGATACACAGAAACACTTCAATTTTCTACCTTTCAGTTTCTGTGGAGATACACCTAATTTACCCTCCAGGACAGTGGTTTTTTTTTTTTTTTTTTTTTTTTTAATAAGGACCCATTTCCTATTCTCTGCAAGTATTTGGGTAGTTGAGTAATAAGGAA